TTCTGGACAGCAAAATATCATGGCCTATCACTCCAGACTGAGGCCAAGATTCTGTCTGGACACTACCATCCTGATTTTATGCCTAAACAGGTCACTTATGAGTCCCAGGTGATTAACTGCTCCTCTACAGATTCTGGTTTGCCTCTTGGTCATAGAAATTGCATTTTAAAGATATTCTGGACATCTATTAAAAGAGACACAAGATCACTGAGACTCTTCTACCTAGCTATTCATTTTAAAGATTCCTAGATAGTCAAGTCATATACTGGACATATTCTACAATGTCCACATTTGCTGCCTAAATTAGATATCCTTTAAATCTGGGAGCTAGTAGTTTTACAAGTCTCTTTATCATTGGCTCTTTCTGATAATCAATCTTCAAACAAACAAACATTTTAAGCCAAAGGCAGCAAGTTATTCCAGACTAGGAATGGATACTTTCCATAATTCCTTCCTCTTGTATGATCTTGCTTTATGTGTTTCCGAGTATAAAACTTCATACTTACTGTCTTATAAACTGAACTGCATCTTCATACTTCATTCCACATTCAATCAAAGCAAGTGCAACCAGCACAGGTGCCCTGCAGAGAGAAACTCAATTGTAAATATGCACACATCTTTAGAATTAAATTTTAAAAACCAGATTACATGTTACCAAAACTCTAATATTTATTATAAATCAATTTTAATATCATTTCCTTATCAATTACTAAAAAGATGCTAGACTTCAACAAAATCCTTTTCGTGAGCTAGGAGAGGGTCAGAAAATTGATAATTAGAATCAGTCTCAATAAAAGTATGTACTAGTATTTTTAAATATAACAAAGGAAATGAAGTTTTTTAAAAAAGTCAATTATAGGGCACTGATTTTGGACTACCTAAATTAACCCAAGTCAAATTAATAATACTACCTTTGCTCTTCAAGATAAGGACTGAAACTTAGAAACTTTACTATACTATAAAAAAAAGGAAAACAACAAACAAAAGGGCTAAGCAGAGGTAAGAACCTGAGTCACCACTACCTGCACTAATGTTTTGAGTCAAAGTACACACCATAAATTGACCTTTAACCTTCTGTTGATGAGTGTTGCAACACCATTCCATGCAATGCTCAAGGAAAAGGTTTTTTTAAAAAATTAAAATTACTTTTCATTCTCCATTAAACTCCACATCTCCTTTCAGGAGTTTAAGTTCAGCCATCTGCTCTCCACCTTCTAACTTCCCACACATCTCAATCCAAAATTAACCATGTACAGATTTTTTTAATGTTATTGCACATTTCAAAAGCCTGAACCTTTGGTTACTTGGTACAGCAAGAAAAAGAAAACTGAATTAAGAGTATATTTTTAGCTCAAAGATTAGACAATTACATTAAGTCATTTTCAGAACAACTGAACCACCACCCACTAAATCTAGTATGGCATCAGACAACCAATGAAAACACAAAAAGCAGCTTTTGTTCTCATTTCCTTTCCTTTCAGGCAATTAAATATTTAGTGTAATAAATGAAAATTTCTACCCAAGTGAAATATTTGATAATGAATTCACACACAAAAGGGTAAGAACTTACCTTCCCAATCCCGCAACACAATGCACTGCAACACAGCAACCTGGTTCTTCACGAAATTTGGTTTTTAATAGGTTTAGCCAATCATCCACTATCTGATTAGGGGGTGGCGCACCATCATCAAATGGCCAATCCTGGAAAGAAAAAAATCTTTTATTTAAATTGGTATTTTCTCTAGGATTAACTCCTAATACTGAATAGCTGCACAATACAGAGGGCGGGCCTACTTGAACCAACTATACCATATATACCTATTCTTAATAACAGGATTCTGGTCACTGCTTAAAAATGATCCAAGATAGAAATTCAAGTGTGTCAAATAACTTAGCCTTCTTCAATGAAGTGTAATTAGTGTCTAATTTTATCTTATGGAAATCTCTTATGATAGTGATAAGAAATTAATATTCCTCAAATATTTTGTCTGAAGCAATCTGTAAACAGACATAGAGAAAACTGTAAGCCCAAACAAAGTAAGAGAAGATACACCTGTCGATATGATTTAAAAGTACACTCTGGCAAAGAAGTATACCAATAACTGGTATCTTACTGGTCTCTACAAATATTTGTGAGGATTATCCCCCAAACAGTTCTAAGATATAAAGTCTTTTCTTTAGAGAAAGGCTCTTTGATAAAAAATCTCCAATAGTTAGCATACCATAGCAGAAGCATACTATCGTCTTTGTGCTTATTTATACATATTTAAAAGCCATGTAGCAAATATTTTTAAAGCTTTGCCTAAATTATACATATCTCATTGAACGAGCACAGTGCCACATATTAGGGTCCCTAAGCAAACGGAGACCCCTTTCTTTCAAGTATCCCTTTCTTTTTATATTCATCACTAGAGGCCCGGTGCACGAAATCTGTGGGGGGGGGGGGGGGGGGCAGCGGCCAGGGTGTCCCTCAGCCCAGCCTGCACCCTCTCCAATCTGGGACCCCTCAGGAGATGTCCGACTGCTGGTTTAGCGGGATCGGATCTAAACCGGCAACCAGACATCCCTCTCACAATCCGGGACTGCTGGCTTCTAACTGCCTGCCTGCCTGATTGCCCCCTAACCGCCTCTGCCTGCCGGCCTGATTGCCCCCAACTGCTCTCCTCTGCTGGCCTGATTACTCCCTAACTGCTTGCTCCCTGACGCCGGCTCCCCTGCCAGCCTGATTGCCCCTAACTGCCTCTGCCTCGGCCCCCACCACTGTGGCTTTGTTCAGAAGGAAGTTGGACGTCCGGGAGGAAATCGGACGTCTGGAAGATGTCTGGTCGACCCGGTCTAATTAGCATATTACCCTTTTATTAGTATAGATATGCATGGGTTGGTCTTAATTAAAAAACAGCCAGGTGATTCTCTTCCTTGCTACCTTACAAGAGGTCCTAAGAAACCAATACAAATCACCTTTGAAGAAGGAGGAAAGGGGACTCACATTTTACATATCCTCTTTTCCATCTAGCTTCAAGGACAGAAATGTAAAAACACCGGAAATTTTTTTTAAACATTAAGACTATTCTAATGAAATTGGATAAAAACACTTTAAGATACTAGAGAAGGAAAAAGAGAAAAGTGACAGAGCATTAAATTGATTCTGCACTCATTATTGGCACCACTAAAACACTTCATGTAGCCCATTAGCCATGACAGTACATTATGTTTGATTTGTCAACTACACCCCATAATTAAAGGGCTGTCAGTGTTATCATTATAAATGTCACTACAGTTTAACTGTAAATAGCTATAAAACCAGTAAGTACTTTAGTTGAGAGTTTACTTCCTCTAATAATACTCCCTAAAATGCACCTAGTTAAGAAACAGTAACACAAAGCATGCTTCACTTACTCAGACAAGCAGTAAACAAATTCCAAGATTAATTTTAAATGTCCTTGTTTTTTCAAGCTTAAGTTGTTAGCCCTTTAATTTTTTCTAATCATAGCTATTTAAAACAAAAGCCTAGATTTAAAGGCCTCGAATAAATCCCGGACCTACCAGCATTTTCTACAAATTAGTTCAAGTTCTTTACTTCATTTCTATTTCATAAAGATATTTATCAACATTACTGACTCAAACAGACTACAGTCAATCCACAGTTCATTTTCTCACCCTGCCATCTGTCAAAACAAACGAATTTCTCATCTAACCAATGGAAAACATACAGTAGACCCCCAGTGGGTGCCTGAAACCGCAGATAGTACAGACCCTATATATACTATGTTTTTTCCTAAATGTACAAACCTATGTTAAATTTTAATTATAAATTAGGCACAGTAAATTATTAACAATAAAACAGAACAATTATAATAATATACTGTAATAAAGGCTATGCAAATGTGGTGTCTCTCTCTCTCCAATAATTTTTATATTTTAAGTCCAAATCTATTCCTGAATCTGTGTAATGATCTCTTATTTGTTGGTGTTACTTGTTACTAGGCTTAAGGCTTTCTGGTGCAACATTTGCTGTCAATTGGAACATTTTCTGTTCATGTCTTCCACCCACAAATTTAATGTTTCCATCTTAACTAAGCACTCATACACTGGCTATAACTTTTGCAGTCTGAGGTACACAGCAAAACTAGCATAAATTTTTTTCCTTCTTCACACTTTCACAAAGAAGACTCATTCCTACTGTGATCATAGCAACTTCAGCCTACTTTTTTCTTTCCTTATTAAGTGGAGAACTTTCACCTTTTCAGTTAAAGGAAGCATATTCCAGCTTCTCTTTGGCATATCTGAATTGCCAGTATCACTATTTTTGCACTTTGGATGGGATGAAGCAATACTTCATCATACTACTCAGAATAGCACACGATTTAAAATGTATCAATTGTTTATTTCTGGAATGTTCCATTTAATATTTTAAGACCACAGTTGACCCCACAAAGTAACTGAAACCATTGAAAGCGAAACCGCAGATAAGGGGGTCCACTATACTTACAAGGAAAAAAACTTCAAAAATTCAGCCTAGCCCTAACCGGTTTGGCTCAGTGGATAGAGCGTCAGCCTGCGGACTCAAGAGTCCCAGGTTCGATTCCGGTCAAGGGCATGTACCTTGGTTGCGGGCACATCCCCAGTAGGGAGTGTGCAGGAGACAGCTCATCGATGTTTCTCTCTCATCGATGTTTCTAACTCTCCATCCCTCTCCCTTCCTCTCTGTAAAAAATCAATAAAATATTAAAAAAAAAAATTCAGCCTAGCTTCAAGAAGTAAAATTTGGTTTTGTTTAAACACAGGGCTACATCAGAAGTTAAAGTTTTGTGTGTTTTTTTATGTGTCTATATATATATATATATATATATATATATATATATTAATTCTTTTTTGTTTAAAGTATTACATATGTTCCCCTTTCCCC